AGATTGTGCTCTTCGAGTGTCTCGGTGATACAAACAAAGAAAATAAAATATTTTATTAGTCGAACAAATAGATTATTTTTGACAACTATAAGACTTATGCTCGAATAAATGCTCAAAATAAGGATAACCCTTTATGTATTTACATAATTTGTGACAAATTTGTAGCATATAATAACACTACTAAAAAAATAATTGTCCTAGTTGAACCCTATAAATGTTTATATATACTTTAGTCACATGCCCTTGTTTTCTTTCTTACAAATTATGTACCTTTGTAATTTGTTTGTGCCTCCTCATTTTTAGGATTTGTGTTTTCTCGAGTATTTCATGTATTTTTTGACCAAACAATTGGTGGGTCTCGACTCTTTAATCTTCGTCTATTTCTAAATTTTCAGTTAAAAGAAAATTCGATATACTACCCTGTAAAATTCGTAGATCTAGCTATGCATACTTGCTAAAAGACTTCTCTTTTGATTGAAATCGAAGAAAAAAGTTGTTTGTGAATTTGTTCGAGATGAATTTAAAGCATAAGGACGTAAGAAATAAGTTTAGGTGATATATGATATTAATGTGTTGGCGTTAAAAATTTAAAGGCATAGGACCCATATTGGTGAAGGGGCATGGGGTCCCAAGATGTCTTGGTATTATTAGGACAAGATTAGGGATAGATGCCTTTGTGTGGGTACCCCAATGTTGGGTCAACTACATAGCATATTTCCCCACCTAAACCACACAAACAAACCCTAAAAGTAGACACCCTTGTTCTCATGTGCTCTAATTTAAGAGCAACATTCCAAAACGACAACCTCCTTTGTGTCTCTCTCTCTTTTAAACACATCTTTTTTTGAGGAGGGAACCACAAGGTTGGAACCCATTTCAATGTATTAATGTCTCGAACAAAATTATATACTTGATATCGACTGTGTTTAGCTTCAGTTACTTCTAATTTGTTCGTTGTTTTAGTTTTTGAACTTCCCGAATGTTTACTCGCTCCTATTTGAGTCTCGAATTCTGTATTCAAGACTTGTTTTGTTGTCTTTGTCGATTTTTATCAGATATATAAAGAATGAAGATTGAACCATCATTTTTTCTCTCGAACAAAAGGTGTAACTGCCTAAGCCTACAGTTAACAGATATTGTCCGCTTTGGTCCGTTACATATTGTCGTCAGTCTCACAGTTTTTAAAACGTGTCTATTAGGAAGAGGTTTTCACACCCTTGTAATGAATGTTTTATTCTCCTCTCCAACCAATACTGTATCTCACAATCTATCCTTTTAGGGGCTCACGTCTTCTCTAGCACACTGACCAGTGTTTAGCTATGATATCATTTGTAATAATCTTAGCCCACTATTAACACATATTGTCTGTTTTTGCCTATTATGTATTGTCATCAGCCTCACGATTTTTAAAGCGAGTCTACTAGAGAGAGGTTTCAACACACTTATAAAGAATGTTTTGTTACTCTTTCCAACCAACGTGGGATCTCACATAAGAGAGTTATCAAAAGATTTTTTTTTTATAATACGAAAGTTAAACGTATATATTATTAAAAAAATATATTCACTAGGGTCTTCATTGACATTCTCTTGCAGCTAGACCTTGTTTTAGGCACAAGCTTCCTCAAATAAAAGAGAATGAAAGCTAATATTTCACTATTTTCGTTCCGAGTTTTGAAGCGTAGGCTGCTTCCACACATACTTTTAGATCAACTCGAAAGAATGTTACATAAGGTTACATATATAAATGCTTTTAATAATTAAAAGAAAAATTCATATTTTTGTCCTTATCTAACCCAAATGAATATACTAGATTTTAATTTTCTTTAATTAAATAAATATAAAAAATATTAAATATTAACATTTAAATTCATTAAAGTCAAATGAAATCAAATAATTAAAAACCCCATTATAATTGAATTTTTTTGATAATATCCCTTTTTTTATGGTCCAAAAAATGGTCATATAATATTATAATTAATTAAAAACAGCATGAAAAAGATCCTAATTAGGTATATGAATCAAAATTCACAACTCATGCTGCTCTGTCATCTCCCAATCATTCCTTAAAGAACACCTCAAAAATAAAAAATAAAATTTTTTTAAAAAAATCCATTAAAATTTTAAACCCAAAATATCCATAAAAATAGAATAATTAAAAATATTTTTATAATTAAATATAAAGGAAATTTAATAAATTTATTATTTTAAGATAAAGACAATTTGATCATTTATTACATATTTATAGAATAAAAATTTTGAATTTTTTTTTTCTCTTGGGAAATTGAAATAATTAATTGCATTTATTCCCCCAACAAAGTACCATATTACAAAATGGGGCACGTTTTTTAATTAGAATGTCCTACATTTACACAAAAAAAAAAATAATAATAATAATAATACTTTATTTAACTCATTTGTATAATTAGAGATAAATATTTGTCAATATTAAATAAATAGCCTTTTCTATTAATTATTTTGCATATTTGACCTTAGTTGGTTCCACATATTTATTGTGGGATGACAAAAAAAATTAATTAAATGTTGTATTAATTAGTAATTTCAAATTAAATTAAAATTTTGTGGTTAAGAGTAGAGTAATATAATGGATTTAAAATTATAATTTTGTTGTTTTATTGGCCATCATTTAAAATCCCATTTTCATTGTTTTTATTTGCTTTTTAATTTAATATTATTTATTAATCTAACGGCGGCATGTCATTATCAGCTTCACCGTTTTAAAATGCGATATTATCTGATTTGGTTTTTTACGTATTACTTTCAGCCTCACGATTTTAAAATGTGTCTATTACCGCGAGTAGATATTGTTCAATTTGGCCTATTACATATTACCGTCAACCTCACGGTTTTAAAACTAAGAAAGATTTTCACACTCTTATAAAAAAATGTTTCGTTCCCCTCTTCAACTGATGTGTGTTGAGATATGATTCAAAGTATTCAAAATGAAGATATGAATATGATTTAAAGTAGTTGAGATATGATTCAAATATTCAAACTACCAAGATTTTAGAAAATTTTAGGAGATTCGCAGTAGATTTGAATTTATATAGATTTACATGATTTACTGTCTAGTGTATAATCTCTAAATACTGGAATTGTGTAACCCTCTAAACATCAATAATGCAGGCATTCATCTATTCTATCTATTTTTATCTCTTTCACTATCCCTTCTTTCCAACAATTTTGGTATCAGAACTAATTTTGGTATCAGAGCCAAGTTCGTTCGACACGAGAGCGAGTGATTATTTTCTTTCACAAAACAAAAAATGGCAATAGCTGGTTTTTCTTTCTTTGCACCATTGTTACCAATCTTTAATGGTGAGAAATATGAGTGGTGGAGCATCAAGATGAAGTTCTTGCTCAGATCGCAGGAGCTATGGAACTTGGTGGAGCACGGGTTTGTTGATATATCAGAACCCACAATTGAAGAAAAGGAGAGACTAAGCGAAACCAAGAAAAATGATGTCAACGCTCTGTTCATTATTCAGCAAGCAATTCATGAGACTATTTTTTCACGAATTGCAGCAACAACCACATCAAAGCAAGTATGGTCAATTCTGCAGAATGAGTTTCAGGGAAATTCAAAAATCATAACAGTGAAATTGCAATCTCTAAGACGTGATTTTGAAACTCTACTCATGACGAATGACAAATCAATTGCTGATTTTTTGTCAAGAGCAATGACAATAGTCAGTCAGATGCATACCTATGGAGAGAAAATTTCAACCGAAACAATTGTTGCAAAGGTGTTGAGGAGCTTGACTCCAAAGTTTAACCATGTGATGGCTGCCATAGAAGAAGTTAAGGATCTATCTATACTCTCCGTTGATGAACTGATGGGATCGTTTCAGGCCCATGAGGCAAGAATCAATAGAGCATCAGAAAGGAACGAAGAAAATGCACTACAGGTGAAGGAGACAACAAACAACGAAAGAGAAAATATTCATTTAGCAGGTAGAAGTCATATAAGAGGAGGATTTCGCAGCTTCCATGGTGGTCGTGATAACAGGGGTAGATGGAGAAGTGATGGACAGAGACAATTCAATGAACAAAGGAATGTCATACAATGTTACCATTGCAGAAGGTATGGGCACACAAAATCTGATTGTTGGTATAAAAATCAACGAATGAATTTTGCAGCAGAGAATGAAGAAGAAAAACTGGCGTGCATGGATACTAATCCAAAAAAGGGTGACTTATGGTTTGTTAGCGGATGCTCGAACCATATGACAGGCACTAAATCTTTATTCAAAGAGCTTGATGAGACGCAAAAAACTAAGATGCAACTTGGAAACACAAAAGAGATGCAAGTTGAGAGAAAATGTAGAGTGAAAGTCGAAACCAGTCATGGTAAGATAAAACAATTAGATAATTTTCAATTTGTACTTGATTTAAGGTATAATTTATTGAGTGTTGGACAATTGATGACCAGAGGACATTCAATTCTATTTGATGACAACACATGTGTCATTACACATAAGAAATCAGACCATAAAGTTCAAATTGCCATGACTTCAAATAAGATGTTTCCACTTGATATTTCTAACATGGAGGATTTTGCTCTTGCTGCTAGCACGAAAGATGACTCAACATTATGGCATCTCAGATATGGACATCTTCATATGAACGGCCTGAAAATACTCAGGAATAAAGGTATAGTTTTCGGATTACCAAGAATTGACTCAACTAATTTACGTGAAGGATGCATTTATGGCAAGCAGACTAGGAAGTCCTTTCCTATTGGAATTCACATTGTCTAGAACTAATTCATGCTGATTTATGTGGGCCAATGCAAACGAAGTCCTTGGGTGGGAGTATATATTTTTTACTATTCATTGATGATTATAGTCGCATGAGTTGGGTTTACTTCCTACAACATAAGTCAGAAACTTTTCAGAAGTTCCAGATTTTTAAAGCTATGGTAGAGAACTAAAGTGGCTGTCACATTAAAGTTCTTCGAACAGACAGAGGTGGCAAGTTCATATCTAAAGAGTTCAATCTGTTTTGTGAAGAAGAGAGCATCCAAAGGGAATTAACAGTTCCCTACACTCAAGAACAAAATGGAATTGCGGAACGAAAAAATCGAACTATTGTGGAGATGGTAAGAAGTATGTTACAAGCAAGGAGACTTCCAAACCAATTTTGGGCAGAAGCCGTAGCAACATTTGTTTATCTATTAAACATCTCACCAACAAAGGCGGTTATGAATCAAACTTCTTATGAAGCATGGCATGGAAGGAAACCATCTGTAAGTCATTTACGAATCTTTGGTTGTGTTGCTTATGCTTTGAAACATCCTCAAATTCGTCAAAAGCTTGATGAAAAATCTGAAAAAAAATGCATTTTCATTGGCTATTGTACTCAATCAAAGACAAAAATTATACAACCCCATCAGTGAAACGATTTTAGTTAGAAGGGATGTAATATTTAATGAAAACGTGAGTTGGGATTGGAGTAAAGAACAGGAGCAACAAAAGATTACAGTTGAAGTTTCTCCAAATGAAGAGACAAGGGTCAACTCCAGTGCATCTCCTAGTGCCTCCACTACAACGGAAAGTGTGTCAAATTCATCATCTCCAGCATCACTAAACAGCAATTCTTCTCTTGAAAAACTTTCAGATGAGACACCTCCAAGAAAGTATAAATCCTTAGCTGACATATATGCATCATGTCAATTTGCTCTTACTATTTCAGACCCTATGAATTATGAAGAAGCAACTGAAAAAGAAGACGGGAAGAAAGTCATGGCAGTAGAGATGTAGTCCGTTAAGAAATTTGGAACATGGGATATGGTTGACCTACCAAACGAAAAGTTTTATGGAGATTTACAAGAAGAGGTTTATGTAACACCACCAGAGGAATTCATAAAGGAAGACAAAGAAACAAAGGTATACAAGCTGAGACAGACATTGTATGGGTTAAAGCAGACATATTTACGAAGGTCTTGTCAAAAGAAAAGCTCTGTACTTGACATCTGCAACTTTGAATCAAGGGGGAGTGTTGAGATATGATTCAAAGTATTCAAAATGAAGATACGATTTAAAGTAGTTGAGATATGATTCAAATATTCAAACTAACAAGATTTTAGAAGATTGGTAGTAGATTTGAGAAGATTTTAGGAGATTGGTAGTAGATTTGAATTTATCTAGATTTACATGATTTATTATTTATAGTCCAGTGTATAAGCTATAAATACTGAAATTGTGTAACCCTCTAAACATCAGTAGACAATAATAAAGCACTGAAACATTCATCTATTCTATCTATTCTTATCTCTTTCACTATCCCCTTTTTCCAACAATGTGAGATCTCACAATCCATCCCCCTCTTCCCCTTTAAGGCTCAACGTTTTCGCTGGTTCCCTTTGAGGCCTAGCGTACTCGTTGGCACATTGCTCGGCGTTTGTCTCTATACCATTTGTAATACAGCACACTAATAGCAGATATTGTCCGCTTTGCATAGTGTTAAAACACATGTGCTAGAGAGATATTTATACTTCGTTTCCGTCCCCAACTGATGTAAGGATTTACACAAACAATTTCTCATCTCTTTTTAAAGAAAAAAAAAATTAAAAAAAAAAAAAAAAAACATACTATGAGATAATAATAATTTAGTTTAGAAAATTTGTAGAATTTTGCAATAAGAAGATTTATAGAGCCTCTATCTCTAAAGTTGACCCTTGGAATTGGAATGGCGGCCCCTACGGCGGTGGCCAAGCGGTTGTTTCTCTCTCATACTTTCTCTCTCCTAATTTCGCTGTCTTTGGAGTATTTAAAACCCAACCCACAAAGGTAGAAAGGCATTATAAACAGGAAGTCCCAAAACCCAAAATCCTCGCAACAACAAGATGGTGGGTGGCGTTTTGGAGTGGATTAAAGTTTCGATTTTGGGCTGTTTTTTGGTGGTGGTGGCGCTGAGAGCGGCGGTGGTGCTATGGTGGCGGCCGAGGAAAATCGAAGACCATTTTTTCCGGCAAGGAATTAGAGGACCTCCTTATCGTTTCTTCATCGGAAATGTTAAGGAACTTGTCGGAATGATGATTAAAGCTTCTTCTGATCATTCTTTTCCTAATTTTTCTCATAACATTCTTCCTCGTGTTCTTCCGTTTTATCATCACTGGAAGAAGATTTATGGTACTGTTTCTCTCTCTCTCTCTCTCTCTCTCTCTAGAATTTGCCACTTTTTTGGTGGATGTTTGGTTTTTTTTGTTGAAATTTTTCTACACAATTGTTTTTTTTCGTGTTTTTTGCGAGGATTTTAGCTTCCATTTGTTTGTTTTGGCTCTTTTCAAGCTTCCCTCTCGTTTTCTCTTTAAAAGTTGTCTTTTTTTTTTCATTGAAAAACACTGTCCAAAAGCACTTTTACCACCTAAAATTTGTTCCCTACCTGACCGAATTTGATTTTGTGTCTAATAGGTTCGAAATTTTTGGTGTGGTTCGGGCCGACGGTGAGATTAGCGGTGTCTGATCCGGACCTCATTCGAGAAATCTTCACATCAAAATCAGAATTCTGTGAGAAAAATGAACCTCACCCACTGGTTAAACAGCTAGAAGGTGATGGCCTCCTCAGCCTCAAAGGCCAAAAATGGGCTCTTCATCGCAAGATCATCTCTCCTTCTTTCCACATGGACAATCTCAAAGTACCTCTCTTATTCTATTTCTCTCTCCCTCTCTATCATTTTTCTCACATGGGTCGTAAAAAAATTGAATTTTCTCGAATGGGGTCGTGAAAAAATTCAATTTTCTCAAATGGGCCGTAACAAAATTCAATTTTCTTAAATGGGGTCGTGCAAAAATTCAATTTTTTCATATGGGGTCGTGAAAAAATTCAGTTTTCTCAAATGGGGTCGTAAGAAAATTGAATTTTCTCATATGGGGTCGTAAAAAAATTGAATTTTCTCAAATGGGTATTGAAAAAAAATGTCTTTTTTTTCACATTTTTATGATTTTTTCTTCTCTTTTTTGGATTAGTTGTTGATTCCAGTGATGGCAAAAAGTGTCGTGGAAATGTTGGAGAAATGGTCAGCAATGTCAGCAGCTTCCGGTGAGGTGGAAATTGAAGTTTCCGAATGGTTCCAAACCCTAACCGAAGACGTCATCACTAGGACCGCCTTTGGCTCCAGCTATGAAGATGGAAAAGCCATTTTTCGCTTACAAGCTCAACAAATGGTCCTTGCTTCTCAAGCCTTTGAGAAAGTTTTCATCCCTGGCTACAGGTACTCCCGCTACTCAACGGTTCGATTCATTAATTAACAACGCTCGATAGTTTCATTGATTAGTAATTTAACATGCACGATTCGGATGTACGTTAGATTCTTACCGACAAGAACGAACGTGAATTCGTGGAGACTGGATCGAGAAATAAGGAAATCGTTGTTGAAACTGATCGACCGACGTCGGGAGAGCTCGATCGAGAGCTCAAAGGATTTACTAGGGCTAATGATAAGGGCATCAAACACTTCTCCTTCATCAACTATCACTGTTAATGACATTGTTGAAGAGTGCAAGGGGTTCTTCTTTGCTGGCAAACAGACCACATCCAATTTGCTGACGTGGACAATGATCCTCATGGCCATGCACCCACAATGGCAGGTAAAGGCACGTGATGAGGTACTAAGGGAGTGTGGAGCACGTGACATACCCTCCAAAGATGATATTACAAAGCTTAAAACGGTACGTTTTGTTTACTCACAATAATCAATCGGCCACCTTTTTCTTTCCTCATTCTAGTCATTGATCTTCTTGATTTGATTTGATTTTGGTTTTAGGTTTCAATTATTGGATTTTTAGGCCATTTTTTTTGGGTTAAAATGTTGATGTCATGATGAATAATTTGGATAGCAATCCTTTTGTAGAAAAGAAAATTGCATTTAAGTAGTGATTTGATGGGTTTAGTTAAGATTAAAATACTTAAAACGTTAGGGCTGTCTCTAATTTGGACTTGGAGGGGCTAGATATGGGGAAAGGGCAAAATTGTCATTTACTTGATGGTAGATTGTGGACAAGGGTATTTTGGTAATTTGTGTTTTGTGACTTATTTTATGTTTGTGATCTAATCTGCAGTTGAGTATGATTGTCAATGAATCGTTACGGTTATACCCACCGACAGTGGCAACTATTCGACAAGCAAAAGCTGACGTGGAGCTTGGTGGTTACATGATTCCTCGTGGCACTGAACTGTTGATTCCAATTTTAGCAGTCCATCATGATCAAAAGATATGGGGGAATGATGTGAATGAGTTCAATCCAGGGAGATTTACTGAAGGAGTGGCTAGGGCAGCCAATCATCGAGTTGGATTCATTCCATTTGGACTTGGAGCTCGAACCTGTATCGGCCAAAACTTGGCTATATTGCAAGCAAAATTGGCTCTTGCAATCATACTTCAAAGATTCTCCTTTCGATTGGGACCTTCTTATCAGCACGCACCAGCAGTACAGATGCTACTTTATCCACGATATGGCGCACCAATTATCTTCCAAAAATTATCCACTCCATCGATCCCACAAGATCAACGATCATGATCACACCACCTCAAATATCATCCATTCCAAGTGAAATGTCCAAAGTACCCTCACACTACATAATTAGAACCAAACTTAGTGACTGTCTTCATCATCCAAAACTAACCTCATGCCTTTGTTTTTTGTTCTTTATTCCCTTCCCTCTATTGGCATGTAAGTTTATGCTTTGAATTAGGGTTTTAGAGAGACTAAGAAGTTAGGTTCCCTCCTCTCCATTTCTCCCTCATTTGTATGTAAATTTTTTCACCCATTTCTTGTGTTTTGTTGTGTCGCGTCTTAGTTCATTTCATTCAAACTTAAAATTGTATATTCTTTTTGTATTCAAAGTTACCAAATTTTCCCATTGACAATGCAAACTTGTGGGGTTGTTGCTTAGTTTCATGGTTAAGAATTGATATCAACTTAAGAGGGATTGATGCATGTCCTTCCATTTCATGATATCCACAAAAGGAACCCAAGCTCTCATTTCAATGTCAAAGTTACTTTGTGCTTGGAGTTCCTTACCAAACTTTTACAATCTCCAATGATAATATTATATAAACCACTTTGGTCTCTTGTGGTTTTGTACTTTTTGTCACCAAATCAAGAGGCATCACTTTATTTCTCACTTGTTTCAATAAGAAAAGAATGTAAAAACTTTTTCTTTTTGAAGCAAACAAAAGACATCTCATGCCAACTTATTCAAAATGGTTTAAAAAAAAAAGTTATCGTGTCTTACTTTTTACGAGATAAGAAATTTATAGGTGTACATGGGTTGGGTTGGGTTGAGTTGATGACCCGAATGATTCGAAAAGTGACCTGAATAGGATTCACAATACAACTCAATTCAACCCTCTGTTTTCGAGTTTGGTTAAGTTTGATCATCTGGTTGTTCATTTTCATAATTATTTAAAAAAATTTCACTTATCAACTATACATTTTACATTAACAACTAAATTCTCATAAAACTAAAAAATAAAACATTCACAAGTCACAATGCATCACTAACTAACAGAAAGGTCAAATATTCCTAATATTCATAATAATCTTCAACTTAAGATAGGGTTGGATTGAGTTGGGTTGTGAAACATATCTTCGGATTGATCGAGTTGACTCGACCAACAAAGTACCAACCCGTGAATTGAGCTGAATTTTCAATTTTTCAAGAATTCAACTCGACCTAACTAAAAAAGAAAAAAATCTAACTTGAGATGGGTTGAGTGATCCAAATTGCTCGGGTCTCAAGTCATATAACCACTCCTAAAGAAAATTAAGGAAAAGGAATGAATTTTCTCAGGTGTGTCGTTCAAATCACTCATCTTATTAACATTTTGACTTAAAAAAGAGCAAATTCTTCGTAGCATTATATCAACTTGAGTATAGCTTAACTGACTAACGTTCACACATTTAAGTCAAGTCAGATATTTAAATTCACTTTATCAGGATTTCGGGGATTTTGAGAAACCGAGTAGTAAGATAGAATATAAGAAAAGATTTGATAGAAACATTCTTTGTTTTGAATATTAGCTTTTGGGATCTTCCACGCTCTTTTGAAGACAAAAGCTCTAAGCTTTAGGGTTTGTTTGATACTCCCCAAATGAAGTGTGCTTACTAAAACTAAATAAATAAATAAATTAATTAATTAAATTTATTCCCATTAATCTTTTACTTAATTAAACCCTAATTTTGACTAAAATAATCAATAGCATGTGACTCTAATTATTTTCATTATACTATTTTTGAATTTTTTTAAATTAAAAATACCAATATTATCACATGCAAGTAATTTGGATAATTTCACTTTTTCAATATATATTTTGTATTATTATTATTATTTTCACTCATGACTTCATAACCTTAGACTTATTTTAATTAATAAATCAATTATAAATTTAATTTAATTAATTAATTAATTAATTAATTAATTAATTAATACAACCCTTCTCCCTTACTCATGGGTTTGTCTAAGTTGGCATGCTTCCACATTAATATCAAAGCCTTTGTCTCCTCCTCCTTCACTACAAGACAAAATCAACATTCTAATATTCCTTATTTTATTGCTTATTTTTACCATTTTTTAATAAAATAAATAAATAATAAATACTTTTTTTTCTTTTTTTTAATTTTTTTTTTAATTTTTTTTTTTTAATTTACACTTGAAACCAAAGGAAATGAGCTGGATGATGACAGCTCTATTTTACTTGGAAATTAATGCAAATCTCACTCATTTTATAAATAATTAAAGTTATGAGACCTAATTAAATTAATTTCCATTTATTTATTTATTTATGAAATTTTTAGTAATGGGTTCAATGTCTCCAATTAAATAGGTTTGAGCGGAAGAGAAATCTTATCTTTGCTAATAAATGAGAAAGGACATGCATCTTTATGACTATTTATATTCGTAGTTATTTGATAGGTTGGAATAGGTTCATCGGATTTATACTTAGTTTCGTAATTTTGTACGATCAGAACACAACTGCCTCATTTATAAGCTTCGATTTTAGTACAACTATATTGATATCTCAATACTACATTCTTCGTTCTTATATCATGTTTATAACAGTACTAACATCTATATTTCAATAACACTGATATCTGTTCTTAAACATCGCGCTATCATATTTTCAGCAGTACTAGTATCCGTCTAGCATGATCATATTTTAAGAGAATCGAAACAATGATTTGTTTCTATAATAGATCACCTGATTGATTTAGAACCATGAATAAAATTGTCATTATCCATAACGAATACAGTTGTACAAAATGACCCATTAATACATTTTCATAAAAGGACGTTCATATTTAAGACGTGTTCGACAATTATTTATCTATGGATCCAAATCCCCTCATTAAAACATCACTTTCCACAAATAAGTCCTTAAAAGTAAGATATAGTTGTACCAAATTAGCCTTATTTCTTTCACAATAATACACTTGCATTTAAGACCATCAAAGTAAGCATTTTTTTCACCAATAATTCACTTGATCTAAGACCAAAATTAAAACATCACTTTCTACAACAATCTAATGACCCCTTGTCTAGACATCGATGCAATCATTTTCTCGTAATGAATCACTCGTACCAAATCACCACTCGAACTAGGATTGTATTACGATTCAGCTATACTAATGACTCGTTTAACACCATTTTTTTTTCACAAAACAACGTATCAAACCCATCAATTAAGGCAATAATTACTACAATGGGACTAAAGAGTCACTTAATCAACTTGAACACAAACTCTTGACAATAGATAAAAAATTTGAATATGAATAGAATAAACAAATCCATCAATTAAGACAATAATTTCTATAAGGACTAAATAGAGTCTTTTAATCAACTTGAATATAATTCAATTAACTAAGACATAAACTCTCGACAGATAGATCAAAGATTTGAACCAGAATAGAATAAAACGTCATACCGTCATACCACTTGAGGTGAGGGGCTGTTTCGGGATGTTTCTCCCTCTCTTTCTAAGTGTGTGGGAGGCAAAAGCACATGGGAATAGCAATGATGAAGAGCAGGAAGCGAGACAAGAGGAGAGGATTTCGTGGAGCCACATAAATGCAGTGCTCATTTTAGCCAAAACTTGGGGCTCTGTTGGTTAACTGGATGACAATTCCACCTGCATAGCCTACAAACAGCTAAGGCTAAGGCCTCTCTCAGCACCCAATTCCCTGTTTCTAAACAGAATCATCATCTTCATCATCATCTTCTTCTTCTTCTTCTTCTTCTTATTCTTCTTATTCTTCTTCCCCAATATTCATGAAAAGATGTGATTAAACTATCACTCACCAAACTCCCATGTGCCAATCATTCATTATTCCTACTCCCTTTCACTCCTTTTCTTTTTCTTTTTCTTTTTCTTTTACACTTCGACCCGACTAAATGAAACGACAAGAACTCAGACCAAAAAACTCAGCGTTACAGCAATGACAAAAACTCATCTCAAGGATCAAACAGATCAAGAAACTGTACGAGTATAAAGTTATTTCGTACGTTTCATACAAATATCTAGTAAAAATAAAACAGCAAGAACTCATCTCAAGGATCAAACCGAAAGAGTACAAAATACTGTAAAGTTTTTTTAAGTCGAAGGTACAATACCTTAACTAATTTAGCTATACTTCGAATAAAGTTTGTATAGTGAAAAACAAAACAAGAGTCCACTGAATGGGATTACCTGTACCATTAATGGAGCACTAAAAGGCTGTTTATGAAGGGGGAGGGCATAAGTAAGACTTTGTTATAGTGGCACAATAGGCTTGGTTGCAATAAAGACTGTTACAAACAATGCATTGATTAGACTACACCTGCTGGCCCAACAAAACTTAGTGGGGTTTTTACTATCTTGTTGGTTGGATGGTTAGGCATTGTGGTTCTTCATATTCAATTTCACATCCCTTAAATCTCACCTACTTCAAACATTAAATGTTTTATAAATCTTTTATACCATCATTTTTTGCCCCTAAAGTTCTAGAGTTTTGGATCCAGTCCCTAAACTTTATCTATTATTATCCATTTGGGTCATTTTACTAAGGGATAAAGTTTTAATGGTAAGGATTAAAAGTAGCTTCAAATATCAAAAGGATAAATGTAAGATCCGACATCAGTTAGAGAGGAACGAAGCAGTCTTTATAAGGTTTTCACACTCTCCGTAACAAACGTGTTTTAAAAACCTTAAGGAGAAGCCCAAAAGGACAAAAGCCTAAAAAAGACAATATCTGCTAGCGGTGGGCTTGGGCTGTTGCAAATGGTATTAGAGCCAGACATCAGGCGAGGAGACTAAGCACCAAAGTGGATGGACATGAGGCAGTGTGCCAGTAAGGACACTGGGCCCTGAAAGGGGTGGATTGGGGGGATCCCACATCGATTGGAGAAGGGAACGAATGCTAGCGAGGACGTTGGGCCCCAAAGAAGGGTGGATTGTGAGATCCCACATCGGTTGGAGAGGAGAACGAAACATTCTTTATAAGGATTTGGAATCCTCTCCCTAACATATGTGTTTTAAAAACCTTGAGGGAAAACCCGAAAAAGGCAGGCTCAAAGAGAACAAAATCTGCTAGCGGTAGGCTTGGCTATAATAAATATAGAAATGAATCAAAATTTTAAATGTTCGAAGACAAACCTATTTGAACATGTCTTTTGAGCTCACGACATCAAACAAACTAACATGAAAACTTAAGAAGATGTCTTGAGTTCAAACAATCAACCAGATGGGAAAGTCACCTAGGAATTACCAGGAACACACTGTTTTAGACCAATTCACTAGATGATAGCAAGAAAAACTGGAAGCTGCCCCATCAGTACTAATCAGTACCAAAAAAAACCCTGTTTGTTTTTTGTTTTCATGCAGGCAAATTTTCAAACAGAGACCAGAATAATTGAGAAACAAGGTTTGCATTCTTGTACTATACCTTACAAAAAAGCGAACAGCTACTACAATGCTCATCCTAAAAGAATACTCAAGATTCTGAATTTTCGGGGTTGAGAAATAATGTCAAATTGAACCACAAGTGAAGATGAAGAACATAAAAAGTAAAAAATAAATAAATAAAACAGGAGGAAAAATCATTGTGATAGATGCCATCTGTGCAAAAGAACAACAAATGAATGTGATTTGTACTTGCAACTCAATTATGAACAGCGGTACTCCTAATTCCTCAAAAGAAGGCATGATCAGCACAGGAAGAGTAATTAAGAAAGTAAAAGCTAATAATGAGATGAGGCTTGTTTGGATTCAAATGTTCAAACCAGGCATGATAGTTATAGAGCAAAGCTCACTTCTTATGTGGGGAAATCCACCCACAGCTTTGAGACAAGTTCTACACTTGCTTTAGCGCCGAGCTCGAACCATACATCTCTAGCTTGATATTTCTGCAGGATGCACATAAGAACACCATCAAGCCTTCTCGAGTAACCTTCCTTTTCTCTAAGGGAAAAAACATATACATACAATGCATAAGGAGGAATAAACAGAAACCATTACTTTTATGTTACCTGGATCATGTATTCTTTGTCAGGTTGTCTTGTCATAATTGAATCCTGCACTGAACAAATTTACTAAGGTGAAAAACTCACCCCCCCCCCCCCCCCCCCCCCCCCCCCCCCCCCCCCCCCCCCCCCCCCCCCCCCCCCCCCCCCCCCCCCCCCCCCCCCCCCCCCCCCCCCCCC